AAGAGCTCAGTGGTCCTTTGTGCAGCAAAAAATGACTCACAAAAGGGTGGAGCAGCTGAAAATCAGCATCCACAAAAGTGACAATAGGGCCAGATGACCATTTCAAGCAGAACATGCCTTTCGTAATCTTAACTCTCAACTGTTCATTCTAATTATCTCACTTTTTCGGGATTTAGTCATCGCGTAGTATCTCCTAGCGAGTGCGTTAATTGAAGCCTATTCTTTCGTTCAATCCCTGCTGTAGAATTCACAAAGTCGTTTAAAATTTTGTACCCAGTCTTACTCAAATTTCAGAATATCGTGGCTGAACTATTAGAACGAAGTTTCCGAGTATCTTAACAGTTGACTGGCCGCAAATGATTTTTAGTGTTTGATAAAGTGGAGATGGGAAATAGTGTTAGACCTCAACTATTAAGGAACTGTTGTTGAAAGAGATATAGTTTCGCGCACTTCATGTCACTAAATCTGCTAGAGATTAGTCACTGAAAATATGCCTATTCAAAGTGACTGATTCTATCGATACAAGAAAGGACACTTTTACTTGACCCTCGAAACAAGATCCGCATGCCAGGTCAAAAGTTTATTTTTCGCTGAAAACAGCTCATTTTGGTAAACCTTTAGTATTTGCTCGATATCTTGAGATACAATGATTTTGAACCGTGTTTGGTTTATAAATAGATTTTTATAGTGCGCAATATTGAGGGAGAAAATGTCATATTTTGCATTTGAACTGAACAGTATATACTGCTTCATGCTTGCTTAGATTTTACCAAACAAAGCCATTTTTCTAGTTTTCTGATAAGGTAATCACTATAGCAAGCTTAATTGTCACTGGGGAGACTTCAATAAAAACTTTTTGGTACTATTGCTTCATTTTAACCCACTTTCAACCCTTCTGAAGCGAGGCTTTTCCATTTCTTAAACTTTTAGTAGTCATCCAATAGCTTGAACCTCGGCCATTTCGACACTATAGTTTTTGCAAACATTCTTAAGGCGCTGAAGCTGAAAGAATATCACATTCGATGCGCTTTTTCCCTCGGTTAGGATTCATGGATGGTTTTTCAAGAGACTATAGCATATGATGGCATAAAATATGCTGATTCTGCACCTGTATCTCAATGGAAATGCTCAAGCCCAATCGAAGACAGTTTCTTCTACATTTCAAATGCGAAAAAAACTGAAATTTCTCTCAAACGAAGAAAACTTTTACAAACGAATAAGGAAAATCGTTCCTCTTCGGGCTGGTTTGAGAACACTGTGCGTAGATCGATTCAAAAGACGCAATATTGAGCGCCGAGTATGAAACTCATTAGATTTCGCTGCTATAGTACATCAGAAGCACACTTAAGAAAGCAAGAAAAGAGCTGAAGTTGCCGAAATCAAGGCTATCCAGAACTACTAAAGGACTTGGAAAAAGCGGGAGAGTTCCTGTCCTTGAATGGCTGAAAAAAGGATTGAGATAAAGAATGTCTATCGGTTTTCTCAGTTGAGAGATCGCCTACATGCTCCATAACATTTTATTTTTGAGCGGAAGAATCATATTCTTGCATAAAGACTACATTCCTGACTCTTATCGCACATTTCTAATGCCTTTCTTGCAAGAATATCAATCGGCAACACAATCATAATGTAGGACTTTGAAAGAAACTCAAGCACAAATATCTTTAGTACGTAGCTGGAGTATGCGTAGAAAAAGTATGTATTTTACACTGTGAGGAAAACTTACTTGGAAAAAATGCAAATTTCCGACTCGTACTTTATATTTTACTGATCTTCTAGAATTTTCTGCTCAAAATGTTCATTTAATTATCGGAAGTTTATACAATCACCTTTGATCAACAACAAATTATCTTTATGAAAACATCACTGCTTAAAAATTTTATTCTTGCATAGAATTTATACCTCTGACATATAATAGGATTTTTTGCTCGTGGCTTTTCAAAATGAGCATTCCTCTGCCTGCCACAGACATTTGTCTGTTTAACAATCAATTTTGAATCTGTTGTCCTTACTATTATAAGGACTCGTGACCGATCAAGTATTATATAACGTCAAGTGAGATGATCATTTGACGTTTCGCTCTTTCGGAGTGATTTATTGTCGATTAGCATGGCTTACGGCTATTATGGAGTAAATGTATCAAGACCATGACAGACTTTTTTGAGTCCTCGCTCAAAATTTCGATGAAGTCCGGTAGAATGTTTTAAGCTTTTCCTAAATCTAATATGGCATCTCTAGTTCTCAAGCGAGGTCTCAAAAAAATTAATTAGAAGGTATTAATACATATGCATAATTCCTTTAAGTACCCGATCGTTGCCACCTAATTTAACTAGCTCTAAATTCTATTTTTCACCTGTGAAGCCATCAAGTGTCAACCTGCGTTGATGTAATTCTACTGCATCACAGATGAATGGTGTTTTCACTATTCTGGCACTCCTTGGTACTGCAATGAATCGAGAAGAGCCAATGCCTGCTCATGAAGAGTAGGTGTTTGAGAGAAATGAAAGCCAAAAAGGAGAGTGGGGCCAACTATCTCTCAATTTTTTGAAAAATGTCACAGACAAGGCAGGAGAGCACTGTAGCGCTATTATGTCAGACGAAAATTTGACAATCATCGAGCAGAAGGAAAATCATCTAAAATGGGCTGGAAACAATGGACTTCAGGTAGGAGCTTTTTTGTTGTGGAAATCCATGAAAGTAGAACTCCAACTGACGTTATTGGGCAGTGTTTCACGAGGAAATGCAGGAATTCATTATTAACATAGACAGTTTTATGAAGGAGAAAAGAATGAACGTAACAAATTTATTCATCAAGTTGCTGCTGATTTCGAAGCAACTCGATTCTATAATGGATAATGAAAACCAGACTCTTATGGAGATGTATGAAGCTCTAAGAGGTCTACATGCCAAAATTTCTCAGGTACTTGACCGTTGAGATTCACCTGTATCACCTGTCGTCCCGTTGATCGTCGAGTGACTTGAGCGGGTACCAGCAACTCTTCCATTTTTCCCTATCGCGTGCAAGAGTAGCCCAGTGGGTCCTCCTCGCTCTAGGGATTCGCTGAGCATCATATCTTTCTTCTATCGCTTTCGTGAAGAAATCGGACCAACGGTCCAGTGGTCTTCCTTTAGAGCGCTTGACGTCCCGAGGAATCCAGTCGGTAACTGCTCTCGTCCATCGGTTGTCGTTGAAGCGCACCACGTGTCCAGCCCACCTTTTTTTCGATATCCTGGCGTGTAGAACGGCGTCTCTGATTTTCGATCGTTGACGTAGGTCGGAACTTCGGATCCTTTCTCTCATTTGCGAAATACGGGATACTCCTAGTATCGACCTTTCGACTGCGCGTTCGATAACGGCAAGTGATCTTTCATCCTGCTTACGTAGCGACCAGGTTTCTGCTGCATACATCAGGGCAGGGATAATTGTCGAATCGAAAAGGTGGGCACGGATTCGGATGTTCCTTGTCCTCTTCACTACATCTTCGATGCTCTTAAACGTTCCCCAAGCCGCTCGTTTCCTCCTGCTCAACTCTGGAACTAGGTCGTTCATCATGTTGATTTCACGACCTAGATAGACGTAACTGGAGCATTCGGAGACTGTCGTTCCTTTGAGCGTGAATGGGTCATTAGGAACCCATCCGTTCCTCATAAACATTGTTTTCGTTAGATTCAGTTGAAGACCAATCTTTCTACAGGCGTTATCGAAATCGGTCAACATTTGTTCCGCTTGGCTGATGTTTGGTGTTATGAGAACGATATCTTCAGCAAAGCGAAGATGGTTTAATTGTCGACCGTCAATTTTCACTCCGATTTCGTCCCATTCTAATGTTCGCATGACGTTTTGTAGGGTGGCAGTGAATAGTTTTGGCGAAATTGTATCGCCCTGTCGAACCCCTCTTTCTACGTCAATGGTGATATTGTTGTAGAATGGAGATATTTTGGTCGTGAAATCTTTATAAAGCTCACGAAGGATCATTATATACCGAGTAGGGACGCCCTGGTTATCCAGAGCCTCTATAACCGCTTCTGTTTCCACTGAATCAAAAGCTTTCTTCAGAACGATGAAAGTGAGACAGAGTGGTTGTTTGTACTCTCGTGAAACTTCGATGAGTCTTGTAATCGTGTGGATGTGGTCCATGGTACTAAATCCTTTTCGGAACCCGCTTGTTCGCATAGCTGTCCTTCGTCCAGTGTTCTGTCAGTCCTGTTTAGGATGACTCGAGTAAAGAGTTTATAGACAACGGACAACAAGCAGGTTGGGCGATAATTGCCTTTGTCGTGAAGGTCTCCCTTTTTGAACAACAATACGGTCTTGCTGGCTTTATCCGTTGCGTTATCACATTGAATTTGTTAGTGATTATTCCTTTCCGAAGATTTATTTATTTGTGATCGAGAAGCAGAGGTTGGGTTGTTTCTAGGTGTCTAATCAACACGAGACTAGGTGCAGCGGATTACTGACGCGTCTTTTTGATTTTGTGTGCCACCACAGAGGTTTTTCAGAATAATTTTGTGTTGAGGCGATAATTTGTCAAATGTACATGTATCAGGCAGTCATGCACAACTGTTGAAAATCTGTTTTCTTTACCTAGTAACTTACGAAGAACGCCTTCTCTGAAAGAGTTAACATTGTGGCGACAAGTCGAATGTTCTTCAGGTCGTTTTGCGCTTGACTCGGGATTCCCTGACACCTCAAGAGGGCAGATCTCTCTGTAGAGCATTCGCATATCATAGAGAATTGAGTGTTGAGCAGAAAGTCGACCTCAGGCGAGAGTATAACCCGCGTTTCACCCATATCGAAGGCGCGTGCCACCATCACACCACCGGAGCAACATTTGGTAATCACCCATTCTTCCATATCTCTATCACAGATATCGGCCACCAAAATATAACGAATTTGGTCGCGAAACAATATTGCTTTATAGAAGCATAAAGCATGACCCATGGGTCTGTAAAGCTGAGCCATGACAGAGACACGGAAGAATGAGTGGTAGCGAAATGGTACTCCGGTGGTGTAGTGATAGCACGCCTCCCTAGCATGGGTGAAACACGGATTCAACTCCCGTCTGAGATTGAACTTTTGCTCACCATTCAATTCTCTTAAATATATTTGGAGCATCATAACACTGCGAAAAAGCAATAGAAACATTAGAAGTCTTGAGTGTTCGCATATCAATCTAATAATGCTATTGCGATATATTCTATTGCGGCCGTTAGTTCATTATAAGCTCTTGCGATTACTTCGTTTTGCCTCAAGCATCTTTATTTATGTGTGAGAAAAGTTCTTACACCTTTTCTCAAAGGACTATTCCTTAATTTGTCTTAGCAGAACTTCGCTCATCATCAGCGAATATAAACACCATCTTCATTTACTTTTCATTTTGCTCAACAATGTGTTACACTTCCATCTCCTTATGTTCTCAGTTCACATAACAGAATTTCCGATGCTAACCTACTACTGATCATGTTGTCTTCGCTCATTATCTTGTCTATATATCGTTATGTTGTATGTAAAGGTTTAGTGACAATAGTTTGAATTCTGGTTGTGTGGTGATAATATACGACCCGTGTGGCAAACGTTTGCAAAGGCGAGCATTCTTTTTGAGCCAGTGACTCTGCTAGCCAGCTCGAAGAGCTACTTTATGATGCAGTA